AAAAAAAAAAAAAAGAGAGAGAGAGAGAGAGAGAGAGAGAGAGAGAGAGAGAGAGAGAGAGAGAGAGAGAGAGAGAGAGAGAGAGAGAGAGAGAGAGAGAGCTTGAGAGCTTGAGAGAGAGAGAGAGAGAGAGAGAGAGTTTGAGAGAGAGAGAGAGAGAGAGAGAAAGAGTGAGAGAGAGCTTGAGAGAGAGAGAGAGCTTGAGAGAAAGAGCTTGAGAGAGAGAGAGAGTTTGAGAGTGAGTGAGAGAGTTTAAGAGAGAGAGAGAGAGAGCAAGAGACACAGAGAGAAAGAGCAGAAAGTGGGCGAGACCGCGTCGCGAGTTTAGCTGACTTGCTTGTACGAGTCAGGGAGATGACTCAAAGGCGACAAGCACTCTAGATGTGCCTCGCGACCAAGACATGGTACAGCGTCAGCATCCGAGGGTTGCAGCAGTGAGAAGCACAGCTCATTCCCTCTCCGGCTGGCGCTGCCGTTTTCGATCTTCCCATTGCACCCCTAACGACACAACACACACACGCACATGCCCATGTGAACGGTTGCGCCAGCTGTTTGCTGACAAAGCGTCTGACATTGGCTACATTAGGCATAGTGTGATGAATGTCACGGTAAAAGTATTCAGTTTAGAGGGGTAAATAAACTTTGAATCATCCTGGGACGTGTGGTAGCGGCGCGGCGAACAATGCATTGCAAAGGCTTTATTCTGCTGGGTTTCTCAATAGTTTTGCTTGGAATTAATCACGGCAGAAGCTTTGAAAAGTTAACAAAATCCATTCTTCCAAGGATGCCGAACTCAGCTTAGGGGATCGCAAAAACTTTGCTTTTGAATCCGCACGGACAGAACACATTCTCTATCATGATACCATGGATGCAAGCAGCGGATAACAGGCTTGCGACGACACCTTTTCAACACTTCACACTAGGCTCCCACAGCTCGGCGAAGCAGCGTTGCCATCCTTGTCTTTCTCTGATCAAGATTACCACATTATGACACAACTTTCTGATGGATGGCTCAATGTCCGCTTGGTTCACTTGTTTGCCCGCGTCCGGCGTGGGCGCAAGCGGCGACCAATCGGCGTCAACATCTTGGTCTCCCGCTCCTGAGAACCATAGTCACACCGCGGGAGAAAATTTGGTGAGCAAACGACCCCCAAACATCTGGCCCTGACTCATCTGTGGGCCTCGTTGAGTACGAACCGGCGCAGCTGTCTTCGTGTTTGTTGTAGCCGCCACGTTGGATGTTTCTTGCAAGGGCGAGGCAATGTTGGTTCGCTGACCCAGCTTGCGCGTGCGTCGTGTGGATTTGGTTGCCACCTCGGGCGTGCTGGCAAAAACAAGTTCAAAAGACACGACGATTTGGAGCAACTTAGTTTTTACATGCTCATTGTGATACCGTCAGCCACAAACACGACCCAGGCTGCCTTGTCCACGCACCTTTTCACGCTGTCGTTCTCGTCCTGGGCGCTCGAGGCTTCTGCAGTCTCCTTGACAGCTTTCGCAGCCTTGCGGCCTTTACGACCCTTGCGCGTCTTGGCTTCGGGTGTCGTCGAAGCCTTGGCCAAAGCGGAGGGTTGAGCCGCTTCAACCGGGTCTGCGGTTTCAGCATCTGCATGCACCTCGTATCGCTTGGCCCGCTTCGATGACTGAGGGCTGTCTCGCGCACCAGTCTCCCCAATCATTGTCACCTCACCCATGTTGTCATAGATTGGAGTGGCATGTTCCTCCACCGAAACCGTCACCCGGGGAGGCGTCGCCACATCTGCACATCACACACATATGCTATTTGAGCCCACAGCAGTTCTGGCTGGGTGTATTCTTTGCATGCCATGGGCTGCCCATGTCACTTACAGTTGTCAATGCTATGAAGGCCTTCATGCTCCAAGGCAGCGAGGCTGATGGTTGATTTGATCGAGGCGCCGCTCTTGAAGCTGGCGAGCGATCGCATTGAGCTAGCCCGCGACAACTGCTCCGCCTCCTCCATGGCGCTTTGCTGCGCGAAAGCCATGCAACCACGACGCCCTTGTGTGAGTGCCTCAGGTATCACGCAATGTTCTACCGGCCGCCAGAAAAGAATCAGCGCCAACATACCGCCGTCTCCGTAACGTCATCCAACTTTTGTCGCAGCGTCGCCTTGTCTTGCTGCAAAGCCTTGACTTCTTCTTGCAGGGCTTTGTTCTTGGCCTTGATGACCTTGACCTCTCGCTCCAGTGCTGCAATATTTGCAGCCTGCACCGTTGTCTATACCAAAGCAACAGACGCCACGGCCACGTCAGCAGAACGGGCATGCGTTTGCGAAACGTCCATCACACCAAAACAGCGAAAGCCCTGGCACATCGCATCCAGTACAATGAACCCACCATCTCCTTTAGCTCTTGCACTGAAGCCACCTATAGGACGGCACGACGAAAGCTCTGAGCAACAGGCCACAGGGAAAAAACAAAAAACAAACAAACCATTTCGGAGATGTTCGCAAGTTCGTACCTGTGCTCGCAGTTCTGATATGGTAGCTGCCTGAATCTCTGCCTGCTCATGGAGCTGAGCCACGTCGGCCGCCTGTTGGCAAGTCACATTTCGGTGACGATCAGCAAAGGTATAATTTCAAAAGCTGCAGCCTCAGAAAAAGACTTGGCGCAAGCCCTTGGTGTACTAGCCAACGTACGTCTGCACCAGCCTCGAACAGCTGCTCCACCTGCGCTTGCAATTGTGCGTTTTCCGTCTCTCGGGCCTCCAGGTCAGCCTCGAGCTACACAGCGCCCGTGAGTCAACATGACCTTACCATTGAATGCAAAAAATCCAAAACAAAAACAGCACACACCTCGGCAACCAGCGTTAACATGTCAGCGCGTGCCGCATTGGCAGCTTCGAGTTTGCTTTGGAGATCGGCCTGCCAACATGGGTCAAAAGAGATGTCATGAGGGTTGGGCTAGGTCTTGTCGCTTGTACGGTCACACACACGCCTTCGAGACCAGTGACATCACATACCGTTTCCTTTTGCAGGCTATCTCGAGAGCCCACAGCCTGAATCTGCGCCTGCTCCAGAGCCACCTGAGAATACAACGAGCCAGCAAATACAGCCTGAGTTAGAGGCACTTCTTTTTCTCCTGAGGGTTTCTTTTAAACGCGCAACCTTACCTGAGCCCGCTTGTACTTGACGGTTATGGCCCCCACTTCCTCCGCAGCCCGTGCTCGCACCGACTTGAGATCACGACGTCTAAGCATGGCGTTGTCAATCAGGGCATTGCGCACATCTCATGAGCAACACCACCCTGCAAGTAGGGCTTTATTTGTCCTTCACTGGCATTTTCCTTTCACGCACGTGTTTTCATTCTCTTGCTGCGCCGCGCCAAGCTGCTGCTCAAGCTCAGCAATGCGTTCCTGAGCCAAACGAAGCTGCAATGCAACATCAAATCACAATGGCGTGAGATGGGATATTCAAACGCAACCACCATCAGCGAGAAAAAGGGTTTCACTGACCTCGGTACCAAGGCGCACTTCGTCTTCTGAAGGAGCAGTAGCAGCATTGTTTGCAACGGCAGCTTGCGGTGGTGCAGCCGGGGAAGCCACGGCACTGGATCGGACAATAATCATGAGAATACAGCAATATCACCAAAGTACAGTCATATGGTATTGCTAAAGGCGCGATCATCGCTCATCAAAAGCTGATGCGGCGCACCTGCGAATGCGTCGGTGATGTGCGGCTCGTGCTACACTGTGGGTCAGAAGCGCCAACTTTCTTTCATACGTATGTTCCATGTTTGTCACGTTACGCTTGGCCATGGCCTCAAAGGCCTCTTCAATCTGGTGGTGCGGTCGTGCGGCAAGCCACCACCATGTTACAAAAGAAGCAAGTCAGATTCAGCTGTCGGCAGAGGCAGAGCAGGCGGCAAAGGTACACTGCCACACGTGTCACCAACCTCCACGAGCTGCTCAGCCATTTCTTCGGCCACTTCTTCGCGAATTCGGGCCTCAAGTTCTGTTTGTTCCCTGGGTCAAGAGCCACGTGCACTCGAACACATGAGCCCGAGTCATCACTGCGCATATGGCCAGTCAGCCATCGAACACACCTTTCGAAGCGAAGCAGGGCCTGTTGCAAGTCATAAATACGATCTTGCAGGGTCTCATTATACTCGTGTAGCGACTCCATGTCTGCACCAGTCAGATGGTTCAATGCGACACCGCCAATGAGCATGCTTGCCTGTCGCTGCTCGGGCACATAACGCTGGGGAAAAAAAAAAAAACTAATGCAATGACACTCACACCCTCCCCGCCCCCCAAGTGTCTTGTAAGACCAGACACATCAACTGACCTTTTTCGGTGGCATCGAGTTGGTGTCGTAGGGCCGACAGTTCACCCTCAAGAACCATCTTATTTTGCGGCTCATCGGAGGTCGAGGCAGCATGCCGTCCGGTATCGATGCGGCTTGCCACAGCACGGTCCTTAACTTTGCGCGCGATGGCGCTAAAATTGAGAACATGAATGGTCTCATCGTAGTCCTTGTCCTCGACAGACAGGTTGACAATCATGCGCACGACGCCCTGCGGATGACCAATTCAAATGGCGACGTGAATTTGCCCGGGCCTAATCAGGCTTGCTTCGAAAGGCCAACAAGTGACCACCCACCTTGCCCTCGAGATACCCTTGAAAAAGACGGGTCAAGCGCGACTCGCGAAAAGGAGGCAGACGCGATGCCGCCCGCCTATAATGAGGGAGGTAGAGTCAAATGGCATTCCTATTTTTGACCAAGCCTGAATGCCGCTAGACCGGAGGCCCAGCATGACTTACGGGTGTAGTTGGTTCCAACGCAAGTCCTTGATGCACTGGGACAGTGTCATGAGAGACTTGTTAATGTTGCCAGCTTCACGAATTCGCTTGCCTAGCCCCATCCACCACGTGTTAGCCTGACGAGATTATCCATTCAGTGGCCAATGACACCAAGATTGGCACGGGGAAATACTAGGCGCCTTACCACCCGCTTGCGTGTTACTTGTGCGCTCCGAACCGGCCAAATCCACAATTGAGAGGCGGGAGATGCTGGCATAATGAGGTTCCGCAACGTTGGGCAAGCGAATCACTTTCAAGGTAAAAATGGAATGGCTGACCGACATGGCACACAAATCAGGTTAAGTCAGCCGCAGGGTGCACGGGGCATTGTCAATGGCGGCGCAAGATGAACACTAATGAAAGCACAACTCCTGACCCAGGGTACGGTTGCCATGATGATTTACCTGCGCGAAGAATCCTTGTTCAATCGAGTGCTGGCGACGCGTCGGTTGTGCTGGGCAAGCAACAGGGTGGTGGTCAAACATGCGCAACGCATTGGCTGAAGGCCAGCATGGCTCAATGGGCAAGTGAAAGACTAACCCGACCAAAAGTGAAAACACGAAGGGCTTCCTCAATGGATGCGACCTGCACCTCTCGCAAACCTGCAAACAGCAACGGTGTCACATCAGTTTCTTTCAAGGTCAACTAGCACAAGCGTGCAGGGCAATCGAGCTGACCGTCAATGTACACGGCGCCATTGCTACCACGAAGCTTCTTGCTTGACCGATGCTTGCCTAATGCAAGTTGGTGAAAAAAAAAAAAAAAAGTATCTCAAGAGATCAGTCCAGGCATCAACAGGGTTGGGCCAAGGCAAAAGCGGGTCGCAATATCCGTGCTCACCGCTGACAGGCTCCAGCAGATCATAGGCAAGTTCGTTGTAAAGTTCGGCAAACGATACGTAGATCAGGTACTAAGCCGTACGTGAGCAGGGCAGAGCAGCCAGTTGAGTTCAGCAGGCATGCAAATGCACCGGCTTTTCATACTCTGACAGACCTGGCAGCCGTCGTGCACGCCAAGTGTGGTCGTCTCGACCTCACGGTCACCGCGCAGCATGGCCATATCTGGGCAGAAGGTGAACGGACGTCGAGTCATTCGTTGCCATTTGCGGGGCTCAAATCAAAAGGGGCGTGGGCATACCTTCCATCGAGGTGTTGGAGGAGACAGTTGATTGTTGCAGCTCCTCGTTGGCGTCTGTGTCGGTGGGAGCAGCCGTGGCATCGAGCACGGCATCGGCCTCAGCCTGGAAGCCCAGGTCCAGGCACTGGGCCTTGATAGTGGCAGCCTCTGCCACCTCTTCACGCGTCATGAAGCGAATTTTGTTGTATAGCTGTGGCTTCATCTGCGTTGATGCGTTGGTTGGGGGTAAGAACGGTTGGCGCGCGCTAGAAACAAAAAGGTGGAAGCGCCCAAGCAACCTACATCGTTGCGCTCACAGAGCTGCTGTCCGATTGAATTGAAGAGCACATCCAGACTGCGCGGCAACAGACCTAAAAGCGACACGATAGAGATGGTGATCAATCATGGATCAGCAAAAGATGAAGATATGATTCATGAGTGCCTGTATTGGCTTTTGTCGACGCTGTCATACCAGGGCTCTCGGGAGATCCAAGAACGGTGTAGGTTTTGCCGGAGGAAGTGACACCCGTTGCAAAGAGCAGTCCATTGTTACCGTCCAACACTTCCTGCGCACAGGCGTTGTGAAGGATAAGCCCGACAAAATTCAGATTGTTTTTGAGATTCCAGGTGCTGGGTCAAGTCGGGAACCACGCACTTTGACCATGGGCAGGCCCACACTCTTGAAAAAGCTGCGCTGTTGAGCAGTTGTGTCAAACACATGCGAGAAGCTGTACTGTGCCGATGACTAGAAGACAATGCATCACGTTTGCAAGGGTTAGATGATCGGCCTGTGTAAACGTTTGAAATCAGGGAGACACCAAGCACACACTCACCACTGAGCCATTGGCATTCTTGTACGCCACGGACGAGGGTGGTGGGGTGGCCATGAGCGTTTGGTCGTCCAGGCGTTGGATGCTCTGCGCATTGAATTCATCGACAATAATGAGCGTGAGGTCGGCTGCATCGCGCGGCTGCATTGCTTGCTACACACCTGGTCAGCACTGTGTTCATTGGAAGGGGGCTTGAGCCGCGCAAAGACCTGTACAGACAGTCCATGATTAGCACAACACAGTTGCAAGAATGCTCCTTTTTTTTTTCTTGCAGTGGCCGGTCACGAACCTGCATCAGAGCGTTCACCCTGGCAGCGTCTGGTGCTGGGGCAATGACGCTCTGCTGTGGTGCACTGTCTTGTGCGGGGACATTGTCTGCATCATCCTCATCCCTAGCCCCGGTTACATATTCGTCACAAGTAAGCGGTGTGCGACGGCAAGGCAAGGGCTTAAGCTTTGCACGATTTGCTCAAGTGTTTCAGATTGCAATTGATCAGGCACGACGTACGTTGATGCGAATAGGCGTGTGCGGATATCATCAACCTGGCAAAGCAAAGGCAGCCGTTAGCATCACATCAGTCTCCGCTTGTTGAGGCAGGAGAGGCTGTGTTCAGAGTCTGTCACCCACCTCAGCGGCATTGTGATTGGCAGGCAAGCCTGCATCTTGCGTGGGTGAGTACATGGCTGTGGTACGTAACCATACGCTCTTGACTATTAATTTTTTGTTTTTCGCGGAGGGTGGAAGGGGTGAGCGCAAAATGTCCTCACGTCAGTCATCGCCTCTCAAACCGATCAAGACTTTACCAATAGCAGTATCAAACCTTCTTGGAGTGATCCGCCTCGGTCCTGGCAAGTACCGTGTCTCAAAGGCAGCTCAGCACAAGGGTATCAGCCGCACGCGATTGGCGATTGAGCACGGCACAGCACTTTTTTTTTTCTCTTTTTTTTTCTTGTTTTTGAGGCCGAACCAACAAGAAGAAAACTGATGAATTTGAATTTTGGCGCCATGTTTTACACTCTGTAATAAACTTCACACTTTGAACTTTCAAAGATTTATCTGACATTGACGCGCTCGTTGAAATTTTCGCGATTTCGTTCGCGCGCTGTAGTTTCGGGTCTCCTGCAGACCCCGTGCGCAGACGACACTGACATGGCTCGAGGTCTGTCCATAGCCTGGCACAGGCTATTCAAGCCGTATTGGAAATAAGGCTCTACGAGCTGAACCTCGCTGGGTGATGTGGTTCATGCTCTTCTCTTCTGGATCGGGGTCAGAAGAGAGTCAGGGCAGACGTGGTTCACACTTTCCAGAGGACAGGTCAAACAACAGCAACGTGTCACATGCACGGCAATCATGGACATGTTCTAATGTGAATCTCTCTTCCTGGTTTGATGGTGATGTTAGAGGTATCACAAGGCTAGGGATTCTTTGGATTCCTGTGGGTGTGGTTCAATTGCGGACCGCCAAGACAGGCACCACGTGACCACGAAAGACTGGGGACAGCAAGGGGGAAAAAAAGCAACTGAAAAAAGTGTGAAACAAAACAAAGAAAATCTTTGGCAAAGGGGCGAAATTCCAGCCCGAGTCTAGCCACGGGCTTAAGCATCGTCAAAGTCACTATCTTCAAAATCATCCGTCGTGGCACTAGCCATGACCGAGTAGTTGACAGTCTTGCGGCCAATCCATCCCTTCTTGAACGCCACCACCACGAGCGCCGCAACCGCTACAATTGTAATGATAACGGCGGCCACGATGGCACCTGTGTTATTCTTCTTCTTGCCTGAACCGTGGCTGGCCGGGCTGGCCGTGGTGCTGCCACTGGGAGGTCCGGGTGGGCTAGGTGGGCTAGGTGGGCCAGGTGGAGAAGGCGGCGCTTCAACGCACGCCTGGACAAATAATGCAAGTCACGGTGAGCAGGCGAGCAGCGAGCAACACGGCCAGATGTGTTGGCCCAACAGCAGCATCAAGAATAAAGCCAAGTGCAGCAAAACCTACGTCAGGTGAAGTCCACGTCAGGTACAGCTCAGGATCGTTGAGAGCACAGGTTGATTCACGGCAGACAATTGATTCCCTCTGGCCACATTCAGCCACCACAACAGCCCCACGCTGCACGCTGGTGTTGCCGCTCTTGTAGACGTCGCCATTCTCGAAAATCAGTTGCACTTCACGCGCCGCAGGAGAGTATTTCACCAATGGCCGAACAGCCCCAAAGGACACCCAATTGCCTTGGGCGTCCTTACCGCAGAGGCCTGATGGGGTTGACGACGCATCACTGCAAGTCGTGCCGCTGAACGGCTGGAACTTGTAACGCGCAGAGGCCGTACTCGACGTGGAAAAGTCCAGCGTTCCCAAATCCGTCTGTAAGCCCCCCGACAAAAATGGTGAATCAAAGGCCTCGGGATGAGTCTCAAAATCAAGGCATGCAGGCAGATGGGATAGGCAGAGAGTCAGCTGCCTTTGCGTCTTACCTTGATGATCCCGTTTGAGCTGGTCACCGACTTGACAGGGCAGGCGCGGCTTGTGTTCCATGTGAAAATGTACTGGCATGCTGACTTGGTCTCGTTGTAAAAGACTGGCAAAGTGTCATCGTCCGCAGTGGGGTCGCACACCATCTCAATCAACGTTGAGCGGTGGCGCTGAATGCCATCAGCGCTGGTGGGACAACCGTCCGCATCGCCATTGGTGTAGCGCAAGTAAACGACGCCGTCACGCACAACAGGTTCTGCAGGCGATCCAACGTTGAAGATCTGAGAACCATCCTTCTTCACCTGGCACACACCTGCCTCTCCGCTGCACTGGTTGGAAGCCACCTGTAGACAAATTGAGGGTGGGTGTAAGCAGGTAGAGCAGGTAGATGAAAAAGAGTGAGCAAAGAGGCAAAAGAGGCAGCACGGGTCATTGTGAAGACAGAGAAACTTACACCGGGGGTGAGGCAGCGGCACACGTTGATCACATAATCAAACTCGTGGTCCGCCGTCTCTGCGATCCAGTTGGAGTTGTCTTTGTAGCGTCCCAAGGTGGAAAAATCATACTCGTTGCCCGTAGCCTCATCGTAGGCGACGCACGTCTTCTCACAAGTCGAGGAGGAGGCCAGCGCCGTACGCCACGTCACAAGGCGGTAGCACTCTTCATCGATGTCCAAAGAGGCCGAGCCACTGCCCAGGGCACCGTCGTCACCAACAAACACAATCACAGTGCTCGTGCTGCCGCCCGCGCACTTGGCATCGGCTGCCGTGTACACAAGTGTTGCCTGATCGTCCAGCCAGGTCAAATCCGCGTTGGCCGAACCCACGTTGACCTGCTTGCCGTTGTTTGTCAAACAAGCACCCGAGTTGGCGCACGAGCCAGAGGTGGAGAGAGCCTGGCACACACCCACTTCCAGCGGACCGTGTTTTGACGCAAAGTGTACCGACTTGCCACGAAGACTTTGCAGATTGATGCCGATACCATTCTCAAAGCTATCAATCTCGCAGTCATGGCCCTTAACCACGGTTGAGGGGCAAGCAGCCGAGGTGCGCCACACGAAAAAATATTTGCAGTCCAGCTCTTCCTCAAACACGGGAGCCCCGAGACTACCGGGTCCACACTCAAAGCGAATCACGGTCGAGCGGGGCACTGCGCCGGCGCAGAGGTTTTGCGTGTCGCCCTCCATGGAGTACTGCACCAAGAGAGCACCATCCACAAACTCAGGGCCTGATTCAAGGCGGCCGAGGGCAAAAACCGTGTCGGTAGAGTTGCGTTTCACCTGGCAGATGGCTGCTCCACGGCAGGTATCGCCATCGTCACCATCTACAGGGCGAATCAGATTGCGACACACGTTGATGTAGTACTCGTAGCTCTCCGAACCGCGGTCATCGACGGCCAGCCAGTTCTCATCACCCGCGGCGCGTGTCAGCGTGCCGAGGTCGTACTGATTGCCAGACTGGGGGTCAAAGACGACGCAGTTGGTCGAGGAAGGGGCGGGATCGCAGGCAGCTTTGGCCGCCCACCGGAAGATATAGGTGCAATCGTTGAGTTCCTCAACAAACTCGGGCACGCTGTTTGAATCGTCGGCGGTTTGGTCGCACACAAACGTGATGACAGTAGACCGGTTCTTCTCATTCGCGGTGCCTTCATGACACAGCGCATCGCTCTCGTAGATGAGCTGCAGGTTCGACTCTGAGCCAGCGCGAACGACTGAAGGGCGATCGCTGGCAAATCCCAGGTTGTAGAAGCGTTTGTCGGCCGTGTCCTCCCTCTGACACACGCCCGAGGTGACGCCGTTACCACAGGGCACTTGGTTGGAGCAAATGGAAACTGAGTAGGTGTAGCTCGTACCCTTGCCGTCAAAATCATTTTTGGCAATGACTGGGCCACGCTGCATGAAAGCGCTCAAGTCGTAGTCTTCACCAGTGACAGGATCTTGAACACGGCAAGCGCCGGAGTCAGGCGCAGGCAATGTTGGGCTAATGCCGTCTGTGGAGCAGGCCGCAGACGAAATCCACAAGAAGTAGTATGTGTTGGCAATCTCTTCCAAAAAGATCGGCTCACCCAGTGTTGAGCCACAAACAAACTCGATATGCGTCCGGCGCGCCAGGCCCGAGGAGAAGGCGTTGCCACCCTCATACTCGAGCACGAGGGAGCCATTGACAAACCGAGGCGAGGCCGCGTGTCCCAAGTTCTGCATAAGCAACGAAACGCAAACGAGAGCACCAATAGTAAGCTTGCCGTCTGCCGGGAGCCCGAGAAACGGGGCTGTGCCGCGCCGAAGTAAAACGGCTTTCAAAAGGGAGGCTGTGCACGTTCATGTGCTTGCAACGACACACCTGTTCCTGGAACTGTGTGGTGCCGGAGGAGCCGATCTGACATGCTGCCATATTGTCAGAACAGTCAGGGAAATCAATCATGGGCACCAAGGTGCTGCAAGTGCCCAGCACATGAGGGCCGAGCAATGTAGGCAGTGTCAGTACGAGCGCAAGCAGCAAAAGAATGAGAGTCAGGTGTCGAACATCGAAGCCTGAAGTCGAAACAAAGTCCACTTCACACTCACTCACCGGCACACATTGATTGCATAGGCGTATTTGTTATTCTCGCGCGAATCCTGGGCGATCCAGTTCTCCTTGGGATTGGACAAGGGCGAGAGATCATAGGTGGCGCCCGTCTTGGGGTCCTCCACAAAGCAGTCAACCGATTCACCCTCATGACACGCCAAAGTCGTGAACAGGGTAAGGCTGATCACACAATCGGTGTCGTCGAAAGAATTGACGACGAGACTACCCTCTTGATTTTCACCAGTCTGAGCGGCGAGATCACATTCCATCGTAAGCACCGTTGTCCAATTGCGGGAACCGCCATTGCAAGCTTCACCGCCGGTAAGCGTAAAGGTTGCGACGCCATCCACAAGCTCGGGGATCGAAGAAATGGCGCCAGCGTCGTGCAGGGCGCCTGTCGCCGAGCCTTGACGGAAGCAGGCACCAGTCGTGCACGAGTCAGCAGCACTGCAAACGCCAACTGAGATCGCTCCACCGCCGTTCAAGGTAGCTTGAAACTTTTTGTTTTTCAGGGAGGAGAAATCAAAGAAATCACCCGTGACGACGTTCTCAACCTACAAATCAGTGACGACAGCATATCCAACAATCCAGCGAAGTGAGCGAAAGCAGCAACTTTTCTTTCTTTTTCTTTTGATACACAGGTAGCCAACGACTCAAGAAGTGGAGAGACAGGTGAGCAGGGAGGCAAGGCTAAACGGCTTATGCAGAAGAAATATGCGCAGCGAGGCAACCAAACAGCTTACGTGGCAGTCATTGCCTTTGAAATTATCGACGCTACAGGCAAAAGAAGTGACCCAGCGCATGTGGTGGGTACAAGAGTTGTCAGTATACTCATAGACAGGTTCGCCGTACACGCCTGATTTTGGTGAGCCATTCTCCATGGCACACTCAAACACAATGAGCGTGGAGTGAGTGAGATCCGTGTTGTTGTTCATGGTGCAGTTGGCACCGGTTTCATAGTGGATCTCCAAGCTGCTGGCAGTGGCCATGGGCGAGGCCACCTTGCCCCAGTTCTCGTCGGCACTCAACGTCTACCACGTTGGCAAGGTAAGGAAGATGAGGGCGATGGCCGAACAGTCCGCATTCGCTTGTATATGCACGCCAAACAATGCACTCACCGAACCAACGTGGCAGGCAGCTTGATCACGCGTGCATTGATGACTGCCTGTAACCAAGGGCCGGCAGACGTTGATTTGCATTTCGTCGAGCGTACCATCCGCATCAATATCGGCATGCACGACATAATTGCGGCGATTGTTGAGGAGAGGCAGCAAGTCGTACTCAAGCACCTTGCCATTCTACATTAAAACAACACATGAGCATGCATGATTGTGTTAAACCGCCGGCCCTAATAACAAAACAAAACAAAACGAGAAGAACAAAATTCCCCTTTCGAACGGAGTCGTCAGCAGGCTGCGATGCCAATGACAGGCGATGTAATCGGACCTTGTGGGTCAAGGCTCGACACTCTGCGGCCGCAGCCGTGAAAGGACACGCGTAAATTGTGCTCCACGTAAACTTGTACAAGCCGTGACTCGTCTCAGTGTCGAACACGATGCTCCCGGTACCATCTTCCGTGGTATCGCACTCAAAGTCAATGACCGCGCTCCGAAGGTAGCTGGTGCCTTCGATCTCCACGGGAGTTCCGTGCGAGTAGTACAACAAGAGCTCGTTGTCCACCCATTGGGGCCCCATTGGGCCCACACCCAGGCTGAACTTGTCTGAGTTTGACTTTGAAAGCTGGCAGGCCATGACATCATCACCTACGGGTATGTTCACATACCCCACATGAGATGTGACCGAAAGAGGGCAAAACATCGTTGACCCCCAACCAAACAAACAAACAAACAAAAAAAAAAAAAAAAAAAAAAAAAAGAAAAAAAAAAAAAAAAAAAAAAAAAAAAGAGAAGGTCGGCTCAACCATCGTACCGCGATCTGACCCACAAACGGATGAGTCAAGCGGCTGGCAGACGCCAACCACAAAGTCGTATGTTTCGCCATTGCTCACGCCTTGAAGCTTGTAGCCTTCATTCGAGGCAAGCTTGGCGAGATCATACAAGTCGCCCGTGCTGGGATCCTCGACCTCGCACGAGGCATTCAGTTGACTGCGTGGACAGGCGACTGAAGTAACCCACTGAAAAATATAGCGACACGTGGTTTCCTCATGCAGAAAGTGGGGGCGACCAAGGCCTGCGGTCAAATCACACGCAAAGTCGATGCGGGCTGAACGGGAAACTCCAGTTGGGCAATTCTCGGACGAGCCACCAGTGTACTCGACGAACAAGCTCTTGGCCGCGGAGTCATACTAGGTATATGCGGGCAAGGAGAAGAACACAAAGAAGAGGAAGGAAAGAAAAGCACGAGTCGTGCGCAACGAAATAAGATGAGAAGGGATGTTGGCGAGATCCAAATTTGCAAAGGCAAAACGGTTACAGACCTGAGGCTGGGAGAGGTTACCGAGCGAGAAGTGATCATCTGACGTGCGCTGGCAGGCACCTGAAGTGGACTTGCAAACTTCGCCCAGCTCTTGGACCAAGCCACGGCACACATTGAGCTCAAAACTGTTGTCGGTGAATTCGCCGTCGATAATCTCGGGAACAAGCCAATTGGTTGTGGTCCGAATCAAGGGCGTGAGATCATACTGGTTACCAGAGGGATCAAGGGCAACACACTCTTCTTCCGTCTGGGCATTTAGAAAACCAGAGTGAGCGTCTTCGAGGAGCAAAGCAGCCTGAGCAAGCTGGCGAGCAGACCTACATTTTGGTTGGCATTTTCGCAGGCAAACGGGGTCCGCAGCTCAAATTGGTAGCCACAGGGGTCAGGCAAGGTACCGCTGTTTTGAAATAGTGTCAGACCATTGCTTGTTGTGGCCGAGGGATCACAGATCAGATCAACCACAGTGGTAATGTACACGGGATGGCCGTTACTGGTACGGCACTGTTTGCCATTGGTAAAGCTGAGTGAAAATACATTGCAGAAAGTGGGATACCAGCATCACCTGTGAGCAAGTATGGCACAGTGGATGGGGCCATGCAACCATGGCTGTGGGTTTCAAGAGGTACGAACACAAAACTCATGTCATCGTCAATAAAAGTGGGAACATCCGAGGGGTTGCCCAAGGGGACGGCCTCGCTATTTTGCGCAGCCACCATGCATGCGCCGGCGTTCAGACTGGAGCAAGCTCCATGCTTGACGGGGCCGCAAAGGCTGATGAAATATTGGTTGCCCGCGTCGTCCGTGTACCTGGGAGCAGTCGTGGTAGGTCAGTAGACGTCGATGAGTCTGCAGAACGTTGCTTACGACAACAGCGCGCCACACTGTTCAAGTCAGGTTTCCTGTTTTCCACCCTGAGCTCAGCTGAAGCAAGAGAGGTGGCAGGTACGTACTTGAGATCGCTACCCTTGAGGCTGGTGAAATCAAAGGCCGTGCCGGTAGCCTGATCAGTAATCGAGCATGCTTCGCCTTTCTTCGAGTTGATGGGACACGCATAGGCTGAAGTCCAAGTCATGAGAGCGTACGAGTCGGAGCGCACAACGGTTTCCAGCTGAGGGCGACCCTGAGGAAGGAAAAAAAACAAAGAAAGAAGACGGAAAAGAGAAAGGAAGAGGTCAAAGAGCGTGGAAACATGGATCGCGCATCCGACGAATCCAATACCCACCAAGCCAGCATCTTCGTTGCAGTGCAACACCAAGCGCGTCGTCTTGGGTGAGGCGTCTGAGAGGGCGTCAAATGTGATGGTCACGATACCCTCGCTGTAAGACGGTGCCACGGCCTTGCCAAATGATTCGTAGGAGGTTCCTTGTTTGCTGTCACACAGGCGGCGTTGGGTGCGAGTTGAGAAGGACAAGAACAGACATACAACAACAAAAGGAAGCACACACACACGGGACATCAAGCAAAAAATAAAACCACTGAAGTCAGAAAGTCAACCAACCAACAAAAACAAAACAAAAAGAAAAAAAAGGAAAAAGCAGACAAACAAGCAGGCGATGAGGTATGGTACAGACGATGGGGGTTAGACATACCGACAAACGGCTGCGCCTGCCTCGCAAGCGGCCGTAGCATCATCTTTAATCAAATCAGCACAGATGTTCATGAAGAACGATTGCGAGCCCACAGGCTCCCAGTTGTGATTGCTGCGGGTGAGGGCAGAGAGATCCACCTGCTCGCCAGTAATGGGGTTTGTGGCCAAACATTCAATGGCATCCACGGTCTCTGGGCACGCCAGCTCGGTGAACATGTTAAACTCGTAAACGCAAGTCGATGTCTCGGCCACATATTCGAGTGTGCCAATGTTAGTCAGCCCCTTGACGCAGACAAAAGTGATGATGGTCGTGCGGTTCATGCGTCCTCCACAACCCAACGTGGGCGCGGTGTACTTCAGCGTGGGCGTATCATCCACAATCTGTTCCAAATTCAAACAGACGGTGAGGTCAAATTAGCAGCCACTGGCAAAAGGGTTTATGGAACGAGCTGTACCTCAATGACGGAAGAGGGGGCTCCAAGATTAAAAGAGCCCGTGGCGTTGGCCCCCCTTTCTTCCTGGCAAGCGGCCACGTTATGGCCACAAACGGATCCTGTGGTAACATGCACGAGAACGTGAGCCAGCAATCTGAGAGTCTCACTATGATTTGGACGGTCGCCGTTCTCAAGGCAATGGCCAGCTTACCCTGAATGGCCGCACAAACGTTCAACACAAACTTGTAGTTGTCGTCATACGCCACATACGGCTGAGAATTGGGTAGAGACAGAGCGTGGAAGTCGTAGACTTGGCCTACAGCATTGACGTGGCCAAAGTGAGCATGCAGAGGCGCAAAAGCAACGAGCCACCAAGGAGCATCGGCACCCAGGACACGCGGCAGGCGGAGGCGATAAAAAGTGAAACCAGAAAAGAGCCAGGGTCTCAGGGGACGTGTTAAACTTACCAGAAACGGGATCGCGAACGGTACAGTCATGTCCCACGGTATCCCCGATAGGGCAAGCCGCCACGGTACGCCAATGGAACGTAAAGACGCAATCTTCGGAAACTTCCATCAAAACTGGCTGACCCGAGCCCGCATTGATGTCGCAAATAAACTCGATGCGCGAGGAGGCAAACGTGCTGTCATCTGCATCAGGACAAAATGCCGTGTCGTTGATGCTTGATGGTTTGTCTCCCTGAAGGATTGGGAAGAAAAAAACAAAGAAAAAACAAAGGAAAAAGCAAAAAAAAAAGAAAAAAAAAAAAAAAAAAGGGTTGAGAAAAGTGGAAAATGGCGCAAATGATTACAAGAACAAGCATTTCGTGAAAGGAGAAAGGTCAGCAAGACCAAGGATCAAGAGCCCAGGTGATGCAGAATAAAAGTGGGAGAGCGAGTGGGAAGCACAGGGATGAGAAGAACATGTTTTCCTTGTAGCCGGCATGTTTAGTCGGAGACAGGCACAACTTACAAAAGCAGTGATGATGTAGATGGTGCCGTCGTCGCTGAGGGTGGGTCGGGTCGCTCGACCCAAGGCGACGGGGTCAGTCAGGCTCCCATCAGGCTGGCGAGTGCGGCGGCACATCGCTTCGCCCTCGTTGCCACAGTTACCACCGATGGCAGCGCTATCGACAAGGGGGTCGCAGACGTTGATATCGTAAACGTAGGCATTGCCTTCTGCAGCGTCAATGGCTTGCCAGTTGGAGAGACTCCGCATGAGCGGGGAGAGGTCGTATGAAAGATCAGTCTTCTCGTCATAAACGGTGCAGCGAGTTTCGTTGGCCGGGATAGTTTGGTTGATGCAGAGACGATCTGTCTTCCAGTCAAATACAAAAACCGTCATGCTGTCTTCAGCAATGGTCTCAAGGTAGACGGGGCCACCCACGCCCAGGCCACACGTGAAGCGAATCTCCGAAGTCGTGTCATCCCCCTGATAAGTCAGGCGGGCACCAAATTCGGGATGGTCGGCATCCATCCACTCAAACGTAGTCTTGGCAGGATCAGACGGTCCGATGGAGGTGCCAGTCGTCTGACCAAGAGGCAAACGGCAGACGGCCGCGTTCTTCGTGCAGCCGTTGCGAACCCGCTGCAGGGGCTGGCAGATGTTCATCTCGTATTCAAACTTGTTGCTCTCGCGCGTGTCCACGGCGTAATAGTCGCGGTCGCTGTCAAGGCAAGCAAGTGGGGAAGCATCAGATTGTATGCGAGGCGAATGGAACTTGAAGTTCGAAGAAAGCTAGTGCGTGCGTGCGTGTGTGTGTGTGTGTCAGAGTGGGCGCCTGACCTGGCAAGTTTGGTGATGTCGACAGAGGATCCATCTGGTAGGGTGAGAGGATCGCAGCCGGCCTGAACGGAGCCCACCAGGATAGCCAAGAGCAGCAGCGAGTGCAGCACACGCAGCGACGAGGAAGCAGCCATGGCTGCCAGCGGTTTCACCCAATCGGGCACAACACGCACTCCCCGACGGCGTGGAGCTCAATCAAGGATCACTGCGCCCCGAAAGGGTTGAACTGAATCACGTATGCGGTGCTTTAGAAGCAAAAACAAGTCTCCCAGACGCTAAGGAAAGCCATTCAAATCACACGAGAGCGAGCAATTGAGGTGTGAGTGCGTACTGCTGCGCGTCAAGGTGTACAGGAACGGATGGACACTGCTTCCAGTCGACAGAGTTTGAATCTGGGGGAGTTTTGAGACAAGAGCAAGGGAGAGAGAAGGGAAGAAGAGGAGGAGAAATATAATCATCGGGCGGAGGGACGGCTCGACAGCTCGTCAAGTGGCACAATGCCGGCGACGCGGGCTGCAGCGCAGTGAGCTGACGCACAGATGCTTGCGCTGAGCGTCTGCGTTTGTATCCCTCCTTCACAGCCACCACCACGACCACTGTTCTTCACACTCCAAACAG